TTGTGTGTGGCCAGCTCAGCCCACCAGGGGGCAGGCAGGCTGGCATGTGGTGCTGGGGGATTGAACCGAGGTCCCTGTGCTTTGCTTGGCTTAGCTTGTTCTAAGTAGGTGCTTTAGACCACTGAGCCATCTCACCAGCCCCAATCCTAGTTGTTTTTAAGAGATCTTTACTTACCTTTTCACTAGTTGCAATGGTGTCTTATTTTTTTGATGTAATTAGTACAGTATCTACAGGTTCTCACTACACAGATTGGACTCGTAGTGATCCTGTTTTTCAGCACCCCATGCACTGGGATTACAGACATGCATCACCATACCCAGGCTCAATCTCTGTCTCAGTGTGCCTTTGGGGCGGGGCCGGCACAGTACCTGGGGCTTGAACCCCGGTCCGTGTCTGCCTAAGCAGGCATTTTAGTCTGCTGAGCTATATGGCTGGCCCTGCAACAGTGTCTTCAAGGTCTGAAAGTCTATCTTCACTTTCATTCAATTGGTTTTGCCAATTTGTGATTGAGTTTTTAATTTCCTGTATCTCTCTTTAAAATCTGCTTTATGCATTCTATTTCTTTCTATATTGTTCATTCAAGGTTTCCATCATTTTTCCGTTCTCCTCTATTTCATATCAGTGGCTTCTTTAGAAATGCTTAGGTCTTTCATTGTAGTTATCAGTTCTTTTTTACCTGTGAGATTATCTGTGATCTGATTTCTTCTATACCCTTCTGCTCTTGTTTCTTTACTTCAGTTGTTATTATTTCAGAGATTTCAGGTATATGGCTTCCAATTTCTTCTATGCTGATGTCTCCTAGGTTTGTTCTGGATGGACTCAGTGCCTGAGAATGCATTTTGCCCCTTCTGTCATTTTCTATTTCAGAAAGAACTCTCTGATTTCTGTGATACCTTGTTTTGAAAGTTTGATAGTAGATAGCTGTATCACTGGAGTCAGACCCTCTCTGCAGAGTCTGTTTTTTGGGTATCTCTCCTGTCTCAGAGATTCTTATTTTGTGTATGTCCCAAGATTTTGCTTTCTCCATTCATTGTGAGATATTGCTTTCTGTTTGGCATTATCCTCTGACCTCCAGTGTAGGGCTTTTGTGAAGTTATTACCAAAGCACCTCCTTATATTAATATTCAAGGGAAAATGTGGTTAAGACAGACATGGTTTCCTATTTACAGAAGAACAATTAGCAATACCACTAACACCTAGTGAAATTTAGAAATTGATAAACTTTTGTAATTAATGGATTTGTACTTTAGACTACAGGAGCAAACATTACAGCTGTATAACCAAGCAGATCTTTAAGTTGTATTTATTTATGTATTTAGTACAGGGTCTACAGGGTCTCACTACATAGAGTGGACTCAGTGATTCTCCTGTTTTCATCCTCCCAAGCACTAAGATTACAGGCACACACCTCCATGCCCAGTCTCAATCACTGTCTCAGCATGTCCCCGGGGTGGGGCTGGCACGGCTTGTGGTGCTGGGGATCGTACCCCAGTCCCTGCGCTCTGCCTAAGCAGGCACTTTAGTCCACTGAGCTATCTGGCTGGCCCAGGAATTTGTATTTAAGTTAGTTCTCCTGAGTTCTGTCTGGGTACCTTTCCTCTGTACACCTAGTCTTCCAGAGTAGCTCACCCCAGTTACCTGCTGCCACCTCTGTGTCATGAGAATGTTCCTGTAGTTCTGGACCTCAGTCTAGGCTTGGATGGGCCCAGCAATAGGGAATAGGCTGGCTGTGCCAGGTGGTTTCTGGTCCCGCTGTTCCTTCCTGGTAGGCCCGCCAAGGTGGAATGCCCAGTGGCTGCTGGACCCACGGCTCCCTTCCATTAAGCCCACCGAAGTGGAATGGGCCGGTTGCTCCCGGTGGCTTCTGGTCTCATGGCTCCTTCCTGGTAGGCCTGCCCAGGTGGAATCCTGACTGTGTCTTTAAATGGGCCTTCATGAAAGCCTTCTTTATTTTCATCTGAAGCATGCTTCACTTCTACTTTATTTTCTGACTTGTTGATCAGTATCAGGAGCTGCCAATCAACAATTTTGTCTTGTACATCTTATAATAGTTCCACTTTAGTAATATCAGGTTTTGCTGCCTGGAAATGAGAAAAAACAATTACTATCATGTTTTCTCCTGTGGTTCAATTTTAATAAAAACAATTTCCATGTGGTTTCTAGTTCCAACCTAGTCAATTATCATCAAAATCTATTTACTTACAGATTAGTGATATACTTGAAAAAAATAAATGAAGTAAGCGATATTTGCATACACAGGATGTATTCATGTATCACATATCATTCAAGCCCAGAGAGTATCTAACTGAGGTTTGTTTTGAAGTTTCCTTTATATCTGATAAGAAATACAAACTGCATAAATACTTAAATTAATTCTATTTTCATCATTTACCTTGAAAGAAGGTTTTTTTCTTTTTTTTGAGACAGGGTCTCACTGTGTAGTTCAGGCTAGACTTGCACTCATGGTGTAGCCTAGACTGGCCTTGAGCTTTCTGCCTTAGCTTCCCAAGTACTGAGACTACAGGTGTGCACCACCACACCCATCCCTTCAAACTTTTATAGCACTCTTGTTTATGACTAATATGCTTTCAGAACCAAGAAACAATGTGAACACAGACATTTTCAGAAAAAGACAAAGTATTAGCCGACTTGGATTTTTTATTAAATTTATATTTTTACCGGTACCTGCTTGCAATACAAAAGGAGTGCATCCCTTTGTGTGTGTGTGTGTTACATGTATGAAACATACTTTATACCTTTTATATCCCCTTTCCCTCCTCATGAATTAAAATTTTTAAAAATGATGAACAATGCCCCAAACTGTGAAGGACTTTGAATAATCACTCTCTACTCCTGAACATATTTTTCCAAAGAATCTCCAAGGTGTAAAGCTTCATCTTTCCTCCTCTCCACAGTCAATTATCACTTTCTATTTTACAATGTTAAAAACAGCTAAAGGAAAAGACAGTTGTTAAATATATGATTCCACCTGCATCTGTATCCTTTACTGATGCCACAGAATCTGTATGTTATCAATCTCAGATCTCAACACTCCTCTGAAACACAGCAGGCCTGTTTGGGAATGTTTTGTGAAAAACAAAATGAAAGGGAGAAGTCTGGGAGAAATGGAAACAATCCATTTTGATTATCTGTGCTGCTTGGAGGGGGACAGCAGTTCAAGATTAAAAATGATCATTTTATATGGCTTTGGAATTTGTTAACACATGGGTCTTTATATGTATGTATGTATCTTATGTATTAGATTTTGGTACCTCAAAGCAGAAAATGAAAGTCTGCTGGTAGATTCTGGCCCCAGGAGTAGCTTCTGATTTGTCTGACTTCCCTAGACTCATGCACTATTGTTTCTGTAACCCCCACCTTCATGCTGAGGATGGACAGGGCCTTGCTATCCAGTTCACTGTAAACCATTTGTCCTAGCTAAGCTGCCTACATAAGATTACCTTCCCTAAGACAGGTTTTTGCTCCCTTTAGGAGTGGCAAGGGTAGTAGTTGTTTTGAATTAAATATTTACCTCCAACTTCTGGGCTGTAAGGAGACAGTGAAAGTAAAGGATGTAAGTAAAAAAACAACAATAGGCCCCCATGAATAAGAACTGTGAAAGTTTGGCCAGTAATTAAGCCCTGAGTTGGGTTAATATTCTACAGTCTATTCACACAGATCTGTGTCTGAGGAATCATTTATAAATAAAAACTTCCTAGCAAATACTTTTGCAAATTTGAGTACCTAGAAAGGAAAGGACTGTTTAGAGCTAGAAAGAATCTTCATCTGGCCTAAGAAACAAAGGAACAGGAGATTCCATTAGTTCACTGGACCATAACAATCTATATTTGGGACTGAAAAAAACTACGCATCAATGTACTTATCAGCTCTAAGGCTTATTTAGTAAGCTGGAAAATATGCTAAGAGAAACATGTTCCTAGTTTATGCTCCTGCAGGATGGCTTCATAGAAATTTACTTATTTTGTTGTTTTGTTTTGTTTGCATTGCTGGGGATGGAACCAAGAGCATGTATACTAGGCAACTGCTCTATCTCTGAGCTACACCCCCAGCCCAAACTTTGGTTAGTTTTTCAGCCACAGGCTCCATCCCTAGTAAGAATGCAGTGTCAAGGGCTGGGGAGATAGCTCAGTAGAATAAGCACTTGCCTCACAAGAGCAAGGTCCTGAGTTCAATCCCTGTTACCACAAAAAAAAAAAAAGAATGCAGTGTCAGTGCAAGAGGCTCATTCATACTAAGGGACTTTGTTTTGTGGTGGCCTTGGAAATTGAGCCCAGGGCTTTCTCATTTAGCTATGTCCCTAGGGTTTCTATATTCTATTTTTTTTTTTTTTTTTTTTCTATTCAGGGGTTTCTCTATTCTGTTTCGAGACACGGTTTCACTAAGTCTCCAAATTCCCTAGGCTGGGTTACAACTTGTGATCCTCCTGCTTCAGCCTCCCAGGGTGCTAGTATTACAGGCATATTCCAACATGCCTGGCTCCAAGGGACTCTGCTATAACACAAGAGCCTTAGACTAGCCTAAGTCCATTTCTAGGCAAAATCTTCTAGAATGAAGGTGATTAAGAAAAGTAAAATTCAAAGAGTTTGTGGTCTCACGTCTGTTGACAAATGTGGCTAAGGGAAAACAGAACTGCTTCACAGCCTTAGGTTTGTGGCTTTAAATGTCTACTCTAGGCTACTTTAGCTGATCTTCCAACTGGCCCCTTTATACCTCTATTGTACTATGATAATGTAAGTCCATCATAAAGATACCTGCCATCTCGGCATTTGGGAGGCTGAGGCAGGAGGATCATTAGTTCCAGACCTCAGTCTGAGCAAACTCCTGTATCAAAATACAACAAGGGTTTGGGATGTAGCTCAGTTCAAAGGCCAGGGTTCCTTCACTTTATTTTTTGCAGAACCGGGGATTCAACTCAGACCCTTGTGCTTGCCAGGGAAGTGCTTATTCTACTGAGCCATCTCGCCAGCCCCTTCAAGTCAGCATTTTTTTTTTTTTTTTTTTTTGTGGAACCAGGGATTGAACTCAGGCCCTTGTACTTGCCAGGGAATTGTTTATTCTACTGAGCTATCTCCCTGGCCTAGGCCAGGGTTCAATTCCAACTACTGCAAAAACAAAACAGGCAAACAAAGGAATTCCAAAACACTGGAAATTGTAAAACACTGTGATTTTTCCAAGTTGCCAAATGAGGACGATAATCCCACTCAATCAGGTTGCTGCAAAGTGTATTTCCTTATGTTCCTATTTCTGAAGAAATGGCAGGTCAATTTAAATGACTAATGAAAAATATTTGCACATGCACCCTGAGCCATGGAACTGATGATGTAAGTCCTAGGAAGGTAGAGACTGTACTGAATTAATCATGAATATTCAATTTTGTGGGGCTGGGTGAGAGAAAACTGACTATATTTTACAAACACATTTATAGACCTGTCCAAGGAAGAAAGTCCCAGGAAGACAACCAAGTCTCACTAGCCATTCATTTCTTTTCACCAGTGCCTTTTTGCACTTAATTCTAATGGCTTTACACCCAGGTCCACAGATGTATCCAGTGAGCTGTGCCTTGCTTTCCTCTTCTTTTTGGTGGGAGATGAGTCTGAGAAGAAACTCCAGTGCACCCACTTACTAATGATCTTCTGAGTGCTTCTATGCCATGTCCAGTCCTAACTAAGCTCTCTACTTGGAGTTGTACAAGACCCTGCATTTTATAGAAACAACCCCCAAATATTCAGCGACAATGTTTGGATAAATATTGACTGGCTGCTTCTCATGGTGAGGAATTATTTTAATTGGAAGCTCTTCTTTAATTAACCTTGATCAGTTTTAATTTTATCTAGCTGAGACATCATTTAAAAAATACTCTTTTGGGGCTGGGGAGATGGCTGAGTGGAGTAAGTGCTTCCCTGACAAGCACAAGGGCCTGAGTTCAATCCCCGGTTACACACACACACACACATATACACACACAAAAAAAACCAAACAGACAAACAAAAAAATCATTTTTATCTGTTCAACAATTTGACTGACAGACCACCAGAGAATTTAACACATGAATCTATTGTGCTACAGTAAGTCCCTGACTTTTGAACATTTGAGTTGTGAACTTTCATAAACAGAAACAGGTCTCACATTAACGCACATTCATAAATGAGAACAAATCACAGAAGTAGCTCACGTGTTTGTCAGACACTGCCACTGTTGTGCTGCTGTGTGCTCAGTGTAATAGTGCACAGCAGCCAGGGCTGTCAGAGACCTGGATATCCAGAAGGAAGAGGAGAACAATGCTATGTGAGGAAGTACAAAGCAAACACCATAATAACAAAAGTGAAAATTGGAAATTGGGACAAGGTAAATGGTGGACATCATTCACTCTAATAACATGAACAGTTCAAGCACTGACACAGTTCTAAAGAACAAGGACAAGACCATGAACATGTCAAATCTGGTGCCAATGAAGTCAACAATAATTTGCAAGAGGTGTGGTAAAATGATGGCAGAGATGGAGAGAGTTCTCAAGTGTGTGGATGCAGGGTCAGCATCAGCACTGTACCTCACTCAGCTTGATACTTATTGAGAAAAAGCTAAAAAGCCTGTTGATGGAAAAATGTGGTTAACAAAGTGCATCTTTTACCCAAGATTCACTTGGTCAGACTTTTGAGTGAATCCAAATTATAAATGTTCTCAGTGAACAGAACTCATTTGTAAGTTGGGAACCTATATGGCATTTGTTTCTAGTTGACAACTTACAACTTTATTAATAATTGAAGAAGCCACCTTATTAGGGAAGAGGTCTGTACCTTTTATATCATAATAAAGTTCTTCATTTGTATCATCTTTTTGCAGTACATGATTATACAAAGAATCAACAATCTGAAAAATAATTTCTGTGCTTTCTGTATTTAAGTGTTCATCAAGATTAGCAGTTATAACACCAAAATGTTATTTTTCGAGAATGCAGCTGTCATGGACTTTGTTGAATGAGATGCAATTTTATTTCACTCTCGTTTTGGAAAGGTTTTAGCATCCTAGCCTGAGACATTTGGCAACTTTTCTATTCTAGCCCAAAACAAGGCCAATGTTTTATCTAAAAGTGTGGCATCTGCCATATCATCCTTTATGGATCAATAATCTTAACCATGCTTCCAAGCATTTTGACACTTTCCAGAGCTAATTCTGATCTTGATGGTTCTTGCTCCACTTGAGGTGGAAATTCTGAACTGGAAATTTCCTTCACCATTAAAAACTATTATGCCAGCAAGGACACAGCCATCACCTATTAGGTCCTTGTATACTGCAATATGTGAACCAGTACGCATGAGAACAATGCTGTAAACAGAAGTGACACTTTTTCAGTAGCTTGACTGTCTGATAAATAAACAGGTCATCATTCTTTGGCCTATGATGCAACTTTGACTTTAGACATGTATTCTTACAATGAATCTAATATTTTTGGGGATTATTTTGTGCATTTTTTTCCCTTATATATGTTTGGAAAAAGAGAGAAGAGCTTTGAAAAAGTGTACAACAATGTTTTCTGTTGTACTGAAGAGCAGTTTGTAAGCCCAGGATGGCTGATACTGAGGAAGCTGAGCGGTTTGGCTAACACCTTTAAAGGTATTTTCAACAACACTGTCAACTTCTACACAGACACGTACTTAGCTCTCCAGAAAAATAGTATTGCAACTGCTTTTTTTTGTATTTAATACAGAGTCTATAGGGTCTCACTACATAGATCGGACTCATAGTGATCCTCCTGTTTTTACCCTCCCAAGCATTGGGATTACAGGTGCGCACTACCACGCCCAGTCTTATTCACCAGCTCAGTACACCCCGGGGGAAGGGCTGGCTCGGCATGCTGGGGATCAAACCTTGGTCGCTGAGCTTGCCTAAGCAGGTACTTTAATTCACTGAGTGATCTGGCTAGCCCCCCAATGAGTTTTAATTGTAACAAAATACACACGACATAAAATTTACCATCTCAAATTGTACATTCATCAGTTTTCACTATTTTGTACATTATGGCCACTAGTTCTTTTACTATGTTAAAAAACAAACAACAACAACAAAAAAAAACGATTATACAGACTAGAATATGACAAACTGAGACATATTTTGTGGTGACAGTACATGGGTGAAAAATACTTTTTTTATGTGAACATGTCCTAAATTAAACACTTCTTAGAATAACATTTAAGAATAAACAGGGAAATTACTCATCTTGCTCTAAATTGTTCTAAATCCATTCCAACACATGAGCTAAGAATTTCCATGTGTATTTTATTTGTAGAAATCATTTCAGCAGAACTTTGCTTTTACTCAGTAGGATAGCTGAATTTTATTTATTTATTTATTTTTTTAGTACAGGATCTACAGAGTCTCACTACATAGATCAGACTCATAGTGATTCTCCCATGTTCAGCCCCCTAAGCACTGGGATTACAAGCTCTCACCTCCAGGCCCAGTCTCAATCACCCTCTCAGCATGCCGAGCTTAAAAATTGGAGG